ATTCCTAAGTATGATTAGACATTATCAATTATAATTCATCATTAATAGCGCTTTTCCAGAAACTAGCATCGATGTATCGTATAGTTTCATCATGTCTTAGGATCCTCATCTAATAGAAATATTTGAGCTACAGGATCATAAATATGGTCTAAATCATTTATCTCAGAAATAAAGGAAGTTATAAAATCTGGTCCAAAAGAGGTTTTAGTTCTTTGTCTTTTGCTTCTTCTAGGTTTGAATTCAATTTCTTGAGTTGACCTAGCAAATACACTAGAAGAAGTGGATAAAATGTTTTCTATTTGTGTTTCTTCATTCGGTTTAGGTTTTTTTAAAGGAAAATAATTTTTAAAGAAAACGACATCTCTCGACTCACAAATAGAATAGTCTTGTAGAAACATGAATTTGTATGATGTGATATTTGTAACATACCCTATGTACACTGCATCAATGGTTTTAGGTCCGATGGTAGTCTTCTGAAAGTTCGATAATCCCACTTTAGCCAGACACCTTCACACTTTCAAGTATTGTAGATTTGGAGCGTATCATTTCCACAATTCATATGGAGTAGAATCTAATTTCTTATGAGGTATTCGGTTCAAGATATGATTTACCAATAGAATGGAGTCCCCCCACATATTATCAGATAACCCAAAACTTATCAACAATAAGTTCATCATCTCTTTTAAAGTTCTATTTTTCCTTTTGGCTATACCATTTTGTTGAGAAAAATAAGGGGCTGAAGTTTCGTGAATTATGTTATTCTTCTCACACGTCTCTTTTAAGAAATTTGATATGTATTCATCATCTCTATCAGATCTAAGTCATTTAATTATCCTATCTAATCGATTCTCAACTTCTGCCTTATAAATAAGAAGGAAATTTTCAGCCTCGTCTTTAGTTCTAAGAAGATAAACCTCTATGTATCTCGAGTAATCATCTAAAAAGGTTATATAGTAGTGTTTTTCTCATTTACTTTCAAATTTTCTAAAGTCAACTAGATTAGTATGAATGCGTTCTAACAATTCGATATTTCTCTTAGAAACATTCTTAAAGTGAGGTTTAGCATGCTTAACTTCTATACAAATTTTACATTTGTTAAAGCTAGTTATGTCTAGTTTAGGCATAACATTCATTTTCATCAATTTATTTAAATCATGAATGTTAATGTGTCCTAATCTAGCATGCTACATATCAACAAATTCAACTATATAAGCAGAAGTGGTAGCTTTATTCTCATTAAGTTGAGTTTCTATGACAAATAAACCCCCATTTAAAAAACCTTTTCATACATAATCACTGTTTCAGGAAAGTACAAGTTTATCTGCCTTAAAAATTAACTTAATGCATGCCTTATTCAGAAGTATGTCATTTATTAAATTTCTACGCAAGAAAGGTACATATAAAACATTATTTAAGGCCAAAGTTTTATCGAAAGTCAGCTTGAGTAAAACCTTGCCTTTGCGCAACACTTTAGAATTACTGGAGTTCCCCATATACACTCATTCACCTCCGTTACCATCCTTGAACTCAGTGAAAAATCCTTCCTTGCGCAGAAGTGTTTGGAAACGTCATTATCAACCATTCACTCAGAACTATTCTCCACCAGGTTGACTTCGGAAACCACTGCAACAATGATGTCATCATCATTCTTCGTAACATGCGTCTGTGGCTTGTTTTCATTCTGGAGGTCTGAGGGGTGTTGGCCTTGATAGGCTTTGTGTCCGGATATATCACAAACATAACACTTGAGCGTCTTTCTATTAGCTTTGGCATTTCCTGGTTTCTTGAAATTTGTTCCCCTCTGAGGTTTCATCTTTTTGTTCGGATTCCCTCGTTTGACGGTCTTTTTGAACTTAGACCTGAGGCACCACCAAATTCAACCAAGTTAGATTTAAAAGACATATGACTAAAGGAACTCGTAACCTTATCTTTTAGACGGTTGACATCCTCGATTTTCATGTGGCCCACCATTTTCTCAAGTGAAATATCTCTCTTCTTATGCTTGAGAGGATTGCGGTAGTCGAACCAAGACTTGGGCAGCTTTTCAATGAGGACATTGGCTTAGAGTACTTCACACAATTGTATTCCTTCAGCAACGATGTCGGCCACCAGATTCTCGTAGTCATGGACTTCATCCATTATGGCTTATCGTCTGTCATTTGGAATTTGAGCCATTATCCGACAACATATTTCTTTATGCCCGCATCGTCAGCACTGTACTTCTTCTCTAGAGTGTCCCAGGTCGCCTTGGCACTTCTTTCTCTAAGGAAAATGTCAAACAATTTGTTAGACATGTGGCTGAGAAGATGTCCTCGCACTGTCTTATTAACCTTCTTGTATTTCTCGGTAGTAGCGATAGTCGTAGTAGCAGAGGCTAAGGCGACATCGGACTAGACCACATATGCATTATCTCCGGTAACTAAGGTGGTCAGCGAAATGGTAGGTGATGGTCTGAGTAAAATGTAATCCAGATCAAGCTACTCGAAAAATATCAGTATCCGCTGGGACCACCTCCAGTAATTTTTTCCATCGAGTGCGTCGAGCTCGAAAAGATCGGGAATTAGTTTGCTCAAAGGTGATGTCATATTTGCATTATATGAATTTGTTTCTAAATTGTTGGTAATATTAATTGCAAAATCACATCGCTAGCACTGAATGGAAAATAAATAAATCAATCAATCAATCAAATCAACTGAAACAGTGTCGTGGTAAAAACCACTGTCTTGGATATGAATCTGCTCCAAAGAGTGTAACCTCTCCAATAGGCATATCATCCCCCGAGGTTAGGACAGTTGCTCCAAATTCTGTACACCGGAACCAGAGTGGACTGCTAGTGGTACTACTCCTCTGATCATCAGAAATACTTAGAAGCTTAGAAAGCTTTGAGAGATTTGATAAATGTTTGAGTGAATTGTGGATGAGTTGAGAGTGAAATGAGCTCTCCATTTATAGGATGTGTCCAGGGTAAAAGCGTCCAAGAAAAATGAGAATTAAAATTCATATTTAATTCCAGAAATTTAAACCTTTGTAACTCCTGATATTAATCATAAAATAACACAATGAACCCGAACCCCTCAGTACGTCCAGATTCATTTTGTAAAATCCAGCCCATTTGTAACTCCATAAATAATTTTGTGTAAACTCTTGTAAACCGACCCATTAACAACTTGTTCCTTACTTGAACAAGGCTGTGAAATAGTCTAGGTTCATCCCTATAAGTATCAAAAGAAATATTCCTTCACAACATGTATTGCCACAAGCACGAGATGAACGAGCGGCGATGGTGCTCGACTCTACCACTCAACAAAGGGTGGAGAATATAAACCTTAAATATTCAATCCCAATGTATTTACTCACTCAATGTGGGATTGAATATTACTAACATATATACGGACATTGTTAGTGTTAGGCCTAACGTTAGGTACTACAAAACCATAATATTTACTTAGTCGATAGGATGAATAGATCTAGCAGTTAATAGATTTCACATATTTATAAATAGTCGCATCATAAGATCATAACTAATAGGAGGATATTAAATTTTGGAGACTTCAAAAAAAAAAACTTTTAAAGTGTAGCCTGAAGTGACCAACGGAAAAGATGTAACAATTCATATGAAACAAGTATAACAATATGGATGAGAAAACTCAAGGGATTCAATCCAAACGGTTTACGTCACAACATACGAGCACATAGAAAGTAGAAACCGCTTCAATAGATTAATGCATAAAATTATTATACTGGAGTTGGTGGGGGTCTAATCAGAATTAAGCTTGGGGTGATTAACTCTAGATAGAATGACCTACAAGCAGCAGCAGGAGGAGGAGGGACCGATCAGGTGGAAGATGAGTGGGATGGGACCCAAGAAATAGTTGAGGACAAAGGAGGAATTTAGTGCACTATCAAGTAGTTAAAGCCCCCACGAAGCTATAGAGTATTACCATTCAGCAACGCCACCATCGAGCACTTTAAGCTTTAGCCTGGCAGGTCCAATTGCTCTCGGACTTTGGCCCATTGCGCTTGGCCTCATCTTTCCATCTTTCCTTGGTTGAAACTGAAATCCATAGCTAATCAATCATCCAATATCGATACCGTACAGTGACAGACCGATGAGGAGCCACCGCACTTAAACCTATTGGTCCCCTAATCATTGTGATCCACTGTATCTCCTTAATTATTGTTCTTACCCTTCACCCCCAAGGTTCAATTGCAAGGCCTTTTGACTCTATCTCCTTAATAATTAAATAGCCAGCAAAGAGTAACTTGTTTGTATCTATGGTGATATCCCGCATCTCCTTTTGCTTTAGCTTGTTTTGTGCCCTTGATCTTTGAATGCCACAATAATGCAGCTACCCATATGCATGACTATTTTTTTTTTGCTTTAAGTCGTGCACAAATTTTGGGTTGTTTTTCCACGTTCTTTCTTTTTTCTTCTCAATTTCCTTTCCTTCTTCAAGTTAATCTAAAGTACAATAATTCAAAAACAGTAACTTGCAATTCAATTTATCATCAGCCGACCATGTGTGAATTACATGCATTTTAGGTATTCACCAAAAAAGCAGCTTTGAATTTTGATGCCGGCAGGATCCAGTAGTTATAAAACAAACCACCTCTCACTACACTTTATCTGAAAGTTTCCAACGCTAAGATGATTTAGGCAGAACCAGTAGTTAAAAGGAACCACCTATCTGAAAATTTCCGAAGCTAAGCTATTTATTAACCAATTGGTAATTGGGATCCAACGTGTTTCCATGTTAACTTTCCTTTTCAATGACCTTTCCGCCCTTCATACGCAGAATCAATGGGAAATTATTTTATGAACCATTTTCAACATGTCATCAATAATTCCAACTTACTAAATTTTTTTACATCAATATTTATTTCCATGTCATTTACGCATGAGAGAATCAATTAATTAATTAAAACATTACCAAGATTATATGCTCACGTTCCTAAAATTTAAGCCTCTAATTGTTGCTCACCTTCCATTTGAGAACACCATGTCTGTGACCAAATTCAATGCAATGGTGTCTGGACTATTCAACTTGGGTAGCTCGAATGAGTGGGTTGTTACCAAGAAGGCTGTCAGGTCATCAGAATCCGACTTGTTGGCCGTTGCTGAAAGGGAATCAAGGATGACAAACCAGTTGCAAATCCACAGAGGAGCTTCGGAAAGAGAGCTCACTGAGTTAAACCAGTTAAAGACAGATCCTGCCGCTGTTACGAGGGTGAATAAGATATACTCGAAAGAACTCACACTGGCATTCCTCTCAGCCTCGGTTAGGAGCCTCTTAGCCGCACAAGGTGTACATTTCTACTTCCTCTTCCAAGTGACTTTTCTCCTCGTCGGTCTAGATTTAATCGGAGAGCAGATTAGCTAAGTTCAGTAATCAGAGTTTCGTTTTCTATATCCACTTTTAGATGCCTTGAACATTATATAGTCGCAGTTTTCATCTACATTTCATGTCCTATTTCATTCACCTTGGATGGTGGCAATCTATTCTTCCTTGGGCGTTGAAGCATCTGTTATTGTTATAGGTAGGATTTGTGACCCATGTGCTTTGGCGATGAAAATTCAAACCATTTTGTATTTGTAAAGTTGGAAAGCTAAGGCAACAAAATGAGCTTGAAAGAATTGATGCCTTTCTGGCTCTCTGCTTCCATAACATCATCTTGTACAGTATGTTATAAGATATATAGCACATATATTCCCTTCCTCCACCTTGTTGCCTTTAGCTAACTACTATTTTTTGTATATATTTCGGCGAGCGCTTCAAAGTGTCGTCAAGCAGAGGAGATGAACAAAACCCGGTGGGGTAGGAGCAGGGTCTTAGTTCGTGTATAACAGTAAAATAAATCAGAATAATAAAATAATTAATCAATATTAAGCTAATAGATTTTACGGTTCAAAAAATTTAAAGGTAAAACAAAAATTACTATCATTGGATGCACGCTAGTCTTGTTGTGGACCACAAGGCATCACTTCACGCAACATAATCACATAAAAAATGAAAAACGATATTCAAGGACTGAATGAATATTAATCGTCCTAAGCAATGGCACCATAGACTGTTTTTAACACAAACACAACCACAACCACAACTTTCACAGGTTAATCAATCATTCGTTAGACAACAATGAGAACTGGCAACTCATAGTTTAACAGCCTCGAGAGAGAATATATAGCCGGATGGGAAAATCATGATTACCTTGAGGGGAGATTTCAGGCTCATAACTCATCAGGTTGTGCAGTTAAAATCCAATCATCACACAAGATCCACCCGTTTATGTACACCATAGGGGCACTCACGAATATCCCAACCCACCCTCAAAATAAAAAAGAAAGAAATTTCTCAATCGGTAAAAAGAAAAAGAGAGGAAGTAAACAGGCTATCAAGAATAATCCCTTGCATCTTGAAAAGAACAAATAAATATCATTGCATCTCCCTAAATCTTTCAAGTCTAAAAGTACGCAAACATATTAGATGTATCTATTACCAAACCCTATCGCAAGGGCGCCAAAACATCAACTTCTGTAGAACAGATATGTAAGTACCTGCCAGAAGGGATTTGACGCAGCTCTGCACACATTTAAGCTAAAGCAAACAAATGCCACTAGTGAGGGACGGAGGTTCATCACAGCTGGAGAGACTCATTCATTAAAACAGAGGCAACAAAGAACATATTGAAGATCCCATAGCTGGGCAGCAAAAAAGTAAACCCCTTAGGAGTAGAAGCAGAAAAATAATGAGGCAGACCCAGAACATGCCGAATGGGACTCACAAAGATCAAAGATTGATGATCCCATAGTCAGGCAGCAAGCAAAGAAGTAAATCCCTTGGGTGTAGAAGCAGAGAAGTAATGAGGCATACGCAGAAGATGCCAAATGGGACCTGACCCACAAATATCAAGCATTGAAGATGAGCCGGGCAGCAAAGAAGTAAACCCCTTAGGTGTAGAAGCAGAAAAGTAATGAGGCAGACCCAGAAGACACCTCAACAAAAAAAGAAAAGCATGAATTTTTTAGCAGAGTTCCATGAATAAATTCTAAATAATTTTTTAGAGGTAAGCTTAAGATTATTTTCCCCTTGCATAAAAAAGAGACTACGGACATAGAAAAGGCATCATAAAAAAGAAAAAAAAAACAGAAAGGAACTTATCCAAATCCAAAAGCCTGAGGGCGTCGCCAATTTAAAAATAATAGCATTGAAGTCCAAACAAACTAAACACACTTAAACCCAGTCTCTTCAACAAAAGTTACATCCTTGTGCTACTTAGCTCCTACTCCTGCGGCGTTCTCTTGCACCATTTCTGTACCAAATTCAGTAATATATGTCACACTCACACATACACCATGATCAAAAACCACAAAAACACAAAATTAAACAAAGATAAACATGGCTGTGAGCAGGAAAGAAACTGACACTTATTTATAGGCAAAAAATATTGCAATGGAAAAGCCTTTCTAGCTACTAGCCTAAAGTTCAAGGAAACTCACCCATTAGCATATGGCAATTCCTCACGACCACGATATGGTGGAGACTTGCTGTAGCCATGTCCACGAGGAGAGGGACTGCGACGTCTTGGAGATCGAGCACGAGGACTGTAACTTCTACTTCAAATCAGTAAGTATCAAGCAATCAACACAAAAGCAATCAATGATAGCTTAGGAAGCCTTACCTGCGTCCATAGCTTGGGCTCCCACGATATCTAGGACTGTGGCTGCGACGTTTTCCAGAACCACCACGTGAACGACATTCTCTAGCAAAATGACCAGGCTCGCCACACTCATAGCACTTCAAATCAGAACCACCAGAGCGTCCAAGACCACCTCCACCTCGTCCACCTCTTCCTCTAGAATTACGTGAAAGCTCAACTCTCCATCCATTCTTGCCTGATCAAAATCCAAACAATAGACTTTAAAGCTGGTAAAGGACATTTATCTCAAATGATTAGCTACATTCATTCAATATGCCATTAAGAAGGGGAAAATTGAAACTTCCTGTTTAGATGGATGAAAAAGGCAAAGAGTATGACAATGCAATCAAGTTCACGTGTGTTTTTTCAAACTAAAGCATTAAAAGTGTGAACAAATAAAATAAAAGGGACAAAAATGACAAAATCATACAGCCAGTATATTGAAGGAGAGTCCCTTCATATGAACCATATTACTAACAATTATGGAAATAATTTGAAACACAGTTGTAAACATTAGGAAAACAAATTCTTCAAAAAGCTCATATGCAAAAGTAATAAAGAAAGAGAGGGCATATCAAAATCATTATTTTCACCATAAATCTAAATTCCTGCCTATTAATAAAGAAAGTGAAGCTTGATAACTATAATCTATTTCTTAAGAAAATTATTGTTTCTTTTAAAAAAAAAAACCAAATTGGGCCTATTTCAGTTTCAACGAGGAATGGAACACATCTAAACGGCCAGAACAGGAAGTTAAGGATAGAATTAGTGTCATCGTCAGAAACAAAAGGATCTGGTTGGAATACCATCTAATTCACGAATTGCATCCTCAGCGTCCCTGTGATCATCAAATTCAATGAAAGCATAACCCGGTGGCCTTCGAGCAACCCATACACTATAAAAATATCAGCAAATCAAAAGAAAAACAATAGAAAGAATTACGACAACAAATTCATACTTAAAGGAAGTGAATTATCGTGCATAATATAGCAGTTCATAAAATGAAAACAAAAGTAAGGTACACCAACAATATTATACTTTCGAATAACTCCGAAGACACGAAACTCGTCTTCTAGATCCCGTTCCGAAACTCGAGGGTCAAGATTACCCACGTACACGCGAGACATTGCTTTTAAGGGGGGGCTCAAAACAAAGCTACAAAATATTTCCAACGTTATTCAAGGTTAAGTTCAACAAAGAAACGAAGAGGTTGTTATACAGATATTCCCCATCACAATTGGAAGAAAACGAGTAATTTCAAAACCTAATTATATATAGAAAAGAGATAGAAAGACGTGAAGTTGGAACCTGGTGAGCTGGGATTGGCGCAGAGGAGGAAACAACGGCTTCCGCCTTTTGGGGTAGTCGGGGGAAATTAGGGCTAGAGAATTGCTATATGAAGGGCAAAATTAATGAGCTGGGCCTAGTGGATTAGGAAATTCAATGCAAAACCATTTAGCCAAAAAGCCCATCTAAAAAGTATCATTTGGATCCATTGTGGTGGTGGATTAGTCGTTCCAGTGTTAACTCAGCAAAATAATAGGTTTTTTTGGCCCAATACGGTAAAGAGGTAAATTAATTGAGAAAATAGGGCGAGTAAAAGTTTATTTTGAGATCTACGACATTTTCTACAATATTCATTGAACTAATCACGTCGATGTGATGAGTTCTAATAAAAATATTTTATTACAAATGTAATGTAATATTACAGTAAGGGTGTATTTGGTTCACGGAATATAAGATTATCAATGAAAATAAAATATTATCAGGGAATATGATTATTGGGAATGTTGTATTTTGTGTTTGGTTGGTTTAGCACGAATGTAAGATTACCGTGTTTGGTTAAAGGAATAAAAGATTATTAGAATGTATATTTGACCAAATTGTCCTTATTATATATTTGTATAATATTACAAGTTGGAAAATATTTATATATTTTCTTTAAAAAAATTTAAGTTCATAAAATTTATATAATTTTTTTACAAAATTAAAAATATAAAAAAGGTTTAATGAAAGGGTAAAATTTTATTTTAACCCCTGAACTTCATATAAAATTTTAATTATAGACTTTTTTTGTAAATATAAAATAGTTTAAGGCTAAATTTGTAATTTAACATTCGTAGAATTTTTATTATTCAATGATAAAAGAATGATATTTTTTGAAAGAAAAAAAATTTAAGGGCATTTTAGTCCAAAACACCGGTAATGTTACAATTCCTAAGAGAAGAGAGGTAATGACATTCCCAGTAATATACCCCAAAAAATTCACTATTAGTAATAAAACATTACCAGGAATGACATTCCAAACCAAACCTAACATGGTAATGTGGATTCTATTCCCGGAGAATCTCACATTCCCCCATCCAAACGACCCCTAATACCTTTTCTTAACTATTGATAACACATTTTATAACCGTTGTCGCTCAAAATTCAATTAATGTGTATTTTAACTCTATGGATTATCATTAAAGTGAGTTCATAATTATTTACATATCAATTTAAAATATCATATTGTTATGTTAGTCAACAAAAGCTTTAATTTATATATTGAAGTTTCGGGAACCAAGATCTTATTCATCATTCAAAAATAATTGCCCACTTGCATTATAAAATTTTAATAGCTTACGCACATCTTATAAAATTCTATTAATATTATTAATTGCCCACTTGCATTATTGGTGAC